TACATACCTACATACCTACATACCTACATACCTACATACCTACATACAGCCCGCAGTGAGCGATGCCTTCTCGTCTCCATCAGCTCGATGACGTCGTACTTGATGTCCCTAACTTCCATCACCAGATCTTCCTAATACGTTTCCTATGCAAGCGTCCGTTCATCATAAGTACAGGTCGCCATCTAGGACAGTCTCTTTTTGTGCATCCTGTTTTGGTTCTGAGATTTGAGCAGCCTCTTCCAAGCAATCCTGTCCAACCTCAATGTATTTGGGGCTTCCTCGAGTTTAGGAAATTGGACCCCACTCCCATTTATTCCCTTTTTTGGCATATTGGTACCCACGAGCTGCTTTCTGGTTTTAACGTCAGGGCTGGAATGCGCCCGCAGACTCTCCACACACGTATGCAAGGGCAGACAGCTCGCCCTACATAGCTTCATCGCTCGTCGGTTACGTTTCCGCGATCTCTCCTTTTTCGGAGCTTGAGAAGAGTGAAACTATCTACAGTTCATTTAAACGTTTCACTCCATACGAGACCTTTAAGGCCGAACAAGACATCACATAAGCAATATGTAGATAAAGTACTCCTCCCCCTTATCCACCAAACTCAACCACTGGCCTCGAAGTGGCGAGGAGCGAAACGGAAGAAATTCTGACCGAAAGTGAAGTTAATCACCGAGGCTAGCCAAGGATGGGTATATCACTTACAACACGCACAGAGAGGGTTTGGTGCGGTGCAGATGGAAACACGAGTTCCAAATGCGCTGGAGAAAACGGCGGCCTGATGAAGTCCGTAGACAAAAACTGCGCACGATTTGTAGTGCATAGGACGGTAAGCCTTCTAGGCATGGAGATTGCCTACGAATTAGCACCTATAACTGCCGTACCGCTGCCTCGGAGGAGGACCAAACCATCTTAAACGAAGCGAACAGGGTTTGCTTCGACGTCATTGCCCTTCAACAGACGAAGAGCAAGGAAACAATCACAGAGAGTACCAACGACGGCTATCCATTCGTTCTAGGAGCGAAAGTTGATTGAAGAAACTTTCGCGGCGTCGAATTCCTAGTCCATCATGGGATCGAACATTCGGTCTACTCAACCTAACTATTCTGCCCGTAACTGGCGATTCCGCCTAGGGATGAACAAGCGCAACACCGTCAGCATTACTGACTGTTATGCGCCACCTGCAACAGCAACCGACGGAGAAACGGTTGCAAAGAACAAGCATTGGTACTACAAGTACGCTGTTCAAGACTGCACCGCAATCGTCCACGAGGAAAACAGGTAACAGCCCGCACTGGACCACACGGAATCGGGGAAACGAACAGTAACGAAGAACGTTCGATTGACTTTTCAGAGCAATGCGACCAATTTTACAGGGACAGCTTTTTCGTGAGAAACGAGGGCCGAAGTTGAACATGAAAGAGCCCCAATGTAGCGACTCGCAGTGAAATTGACCTAGTTCTCACCAACAGAAAGTTTAGAGTGCTAGACGTCGGTGTGGTGGATGCGTTTAGACTGCTAGACGTCAGTGTGGTCGATGCATTCCGCACTGGAAGCGACCACAGCCTCGTCGGAGCCAAAGTCAGCCTTCGATCGAAACTCCGAGGACGAGATCACTCCCAACCTCCTCTAATACGTCTACCGCAGTACGACGCAAGTGCCATGGAGGTGGCTGCTGCTCAGTACACGAAGCAGCAGGGCCAGGACTTGTCAAAAGATTTCTGCTTGCTTGTAAAAGGACTTCTACACTGCGCGACGGTATCGACTGTGTCAGCAAGAACGAATATGAAGAGCAGAATCGTTTAGAATGCTTGTACACTCCTCTAACAACGGGCTGCCGTTTACCGTAACTCTGCATCTACACATCGCTGCCGCATCGCTTTGAGAGAGTCGTTCAAGCGATACAAAGCAACTCGAATGAAGGATGTGGCAGAAGCGAGAGCGAGCCTTAAACGATGTCGTGAGGATATCGATGACTTTCGCTCAGTGATCACGCTTATAAGGACGTTATGGGCAGGCCACAGTTATTGAGAATGAATATCGAGAAGTTTGTCGTCGTCTATTACACGAACCTCTTCCGTTCGACAATACCGATTTCCCATATCCCCTACGCTACTACAAGAGGCATAGAAAAATGGGAGGTAGGGCACGCCATACGTCAGATGGAGTTGCGAAAGGCATACGGACCGTACCGCATCTGGGCGAACTTTTCGAAGTCGGCGTCCTACACTGTCACCGAGCGTCACAGCTCACCAAGTGCTATAAAGCGTACCTGGAGGCGCAGAGGATTCAAGACTAGTGAAGATGCCAATACGGTTCATCTGTTCGAGAAAGGCAAGTGCGACTCAATGAAAAATTACTATCGTCCTATTGTGCTTCCCTCGCAGCCCTACAAGCTGCTCACTAAGATTATTCTAAACAGCCTTGAGAGGCAACTGGACGGCTATCAACCAGCCGAATAGACCGATTTTTGCAAGGGCTTCTGTTGTGTAGATCATATTCTCACCATAACGCGGCTGATAGAGCGAATAACTTAATACAAACACTCCTTCTTTTTCACGCACTCAACAACTTCTTCTCTGCTTCATCGACTATGCGAAGGCATTCAACAGTGTGGAGATCAACTCTATCTGGAACGTATTGCACTATACAGACGTCAACCCATGCTACATCAATTGAAAAATGCAAGAGAGACACATTTACCACCACATGATCCAACATGAACTACGCGTGACGATCGAAAAAGGAGTCGGGCAGGGTGATATGATATATTCCTCACTATTCAGCACCACACTCAACCACGCGATGCTCCAACTGGACTGAAACGATAAAGGTATCAACATATTGTTCAGACAATATCGTCCTCATCAGCCAAAACCAAGATGAGCTACAGCAGATGGTGGAGGAGTTGGACGACGTAAGCGGAGCCATCAGCGGAGCCTTCACGATAAATATAACAAGACAATGGTCAGCGAAAGGAATGAGCGGATGCGTCATCCATCACACTCGAAGGAGCCACACTACCGTCTACACACTCCCACGTGTACCTCGGCCGGCTGATCTCCATGGGCAACAATTCAAGTGCACAGATTATGAGGCGCAGAAGAGCGCAGGGGCGGCAATGAGGAACATAAAAATGGCAGCTAAGCTCGTATCGGACAAGAAAATACGAGCTAACCTGTTCGACTTCATGATATTGCCCGCACTCTGCCTCGCATCCAAGACGCGGGCGGAGATTGAGAAGCATTGGACTGTGCCGAACATCAACTGCACTGCCTTGACCTCCCCCCCCCCCCCCCCCCCCCCC